CAGGATTTTGGTATGAAATAAAATTTCATAACTGGACCCTTGGGATTAATTAAGTAGCAGAGTAATGGTGCAACGTAAGAAGATTTTACACATCTGAATTTTGTTAGCATTTTTAATATAGTTTTGCCTCTTTCAAGATCTGAAACTCAACTTCATGGCAAATTTAAAATTTCAGGCAATACAAAAGTGCTTTTGCTAACATTAACTTGATGATATACCATGATATATTTCTGACAAGACCAAATGTCAGCTATTCTGTATCTTTTACTGTCCTTTATATGATCGTTTCTGGTATAATTTATGTTGATGCTTCACTCCGGCAGGTGGGTTTGCAGAACCTTTGATGATTTAAATGTCTATTCTCCTTCTAGACCATCATCTGCAAATAGCATAAACAGCAACAGTTCTTCAAACCACAGTGGGTATGTACCAGAACTGCCACTGACTTCCATGGGAGGAGATTTAACGAGCAGATTGTCCAGTGATGAAGGAGAAGCGGATGGAACTGAAGAATCTGAGAAATTAGACTGTCATTTTTCTGGACACCATCCCAGGCCTCTTGGGGTATGTGTTTGTCTCTGGCATGCCTTGCCGTTATTCTTATGTAATTAAAGAGGGGAGAAAAAAGAAATAATTTACTAAGAATGCAAGGAACGAGGACCTTGAATTCTGAAATCTGTATTCTGAAGAGAACAAATACATTTAGCAGAAAATGGTATGGATGAGGTAAGGTAGGAGGAGGAGACTGGTCAGTGCACGTGACAAATAGATTGCAGGACAAGATCAGCAGCAGAAAATCAGAAGTTCTAGTTTTAGATTTTCCTCAGTAGACTTGCAACTGGGCTGTAATTCTGCTAAACTGAGGAAAGTTGCATTGTTTTAAATGTGACATGAACAGATAATCTCTTTGTTGTCATAGTTCTTATGAAACTGTACCTTGCCATTGGTTATAGCTCTGAAAATTGTACAGCAGCAAAGGTCTATTACAGTGCTTCGTTGATTTTGTAGTCTGGTTTGAAGCAGTAATTAAATATCATCTGTGTGAGTGTATATGGACATAGAAGCTGTTGCTTCATCCATCTGAAAGTGAAAAGTCTAGAGCATGGCATAGCCCGTCTACTCTGGTGGTGGCTGAAGTATGTGCTTCTCTGGCAGCTTTTTTTGTTAGTGAGAAATTTCATTGTAAGTAGTAAGAGCTGCCTTGTGGCCTTATCTCCACAGTGTGAATTTGTTTACGCTGTACAAACCAAGAAGCAATGGGAGAACTCTAAGCAGTTGGTTTTCATCAAAATTGAGCCAAAGAATAAAATTAATGAAGACTTCACTTAGGTGTTTTCCATATGATATGCAGGATAAAACAAACACTGTGACAACTGTAGTGTTGTCTATATTCGCTAGAGCAGAGGAGAATTTTTACTGTCGGACGCCAGGAAAAAGTATGCGCTGAGCATAAAATGACTGTCAGATGAAATTTTGTATTTGGTTCTTACACAGAACATAAGAATTATTATAGTCAATATAATACTATGATATGCAGGAACCTCCTGCTTCCTTGGTACTCTTGTATTCTGCTTTGGTTTTGCTGACTGCTTCTCTGTGAATTAAAAACTAAAGGCTCACTGCATGTGTGTCCATACAATTTAAAAAATAATCTAAGCGCAGCCAGTTCTTGTACAGGAATCATCAGTGAGGCATGGCTGTCAATAGCCATTTTGCTTTAGGATCCTAGTTCTGTTTCAAGGCAAATCTCACTGACTCATCTGTTCTTTGAAATCTTAGCATCTCTCAACTGGAGCAGTTACTGATAGTGCAATGTGAAGTCAGAAAAGATGGTGTAAATCATCTTCAGCACGGTTCATGCCAACTTGCTAAATTGTATATTGAAGTCGACTGTTTTCCTTACAAGGTCCATCTGTCAGCTAGGTGGTAGTAACTGATGAGGAAAAGGCAATAGCTTCTTAAACTACCTCTTAGTGGTAACTGATTGTCCTGGTTTTGGCTGGGATAGAGTTAATTTTCTTCCTAGTAGTGGTACAGTGCTGTGTTTTTTGGATTTAGTATGAGAATAATGTTGATAACGCACTGATGGTTTAGTTGTTTCTAAGTAGTGCTTACCCCAAGTCAAGGACTTTTCAGTTTCCCGTGCTCTGCCAGCGAGGAGGGGCACAAGAAGCTGGGAAGGAGCACAACCAGGACAGCTGACCTGACCTAGCCCAAGGGATATTCCATACCATAGAACGTCATGCCCAGTATAGAAACTGGGGGAGTTGGCCGGGAGTGGCCGATCACTGCTCGGGGATGGGCTGGGCATCAGTCAGCAGGTGGTGAGCAATGGTATTGTGCATCACTTGGTTTTCTTGGGTTTTACTCCTCTCTCTCTTGTTATCTCCCTTTTCGTTGTTGTTGTTATTATATTTAATTTTATTTCAATTATTAAACTGTTCTTAACTCATGGGTCTTACCTTTTTCTGATTTTTCTCCCCCTCCCACTGGTGCAGGGGGGAGTAAGCGAGCAGCTGTGTGGTGCCTAGTTGCTGGCTGGGGTTAAACCACGATACTGATCTGTGTCACTGGGAGGTGAGGCTAGTTTATCAACTTAGGTGGTGGTTTTAATTAACCTGTTTAACTTTGTCATGAAACAGACTTAAGTTAAACAGTTACAGTCACCACCGGCTGTCCATTAAGCTGAAAAGTCCTTTAAACAGGTGCTTTTCTACTGCATCAGTAGCTTCTGCTCTCAGCCAGAATTTGTGTGAGTTGGTCCCTGCAGGATGGAGTTGTCTTGTTTTCTGAGGATGATTTATAACAGGTTTCTCTCTCACAAATAGGTGTTGTGGCAGTTCTCTACATACTGTGAGATCAGTAAGGCTGAACTGAAGAAAGGGTAGTTTCCTGATCATACCATTTCAGTGTAGTAGGACTTTTCAGGAAGTTCTCCAGCGGAAGTAGTGCAAATACTCCTGAGCTCTGCAGAATTCTCAAAATATTTACTACTCCTCTAGATGATTTTCATACACTGTGAAGAGTGTATCCAGTGTTCTGTTGTAGTGCAGGTGCCATGGATGATAATTTTTTTACTGAAATGTCACTGGTTTGTTTGTTTATTAAATAAGATACTAAAGATGCTCCCATTGCACCTTTTTCCTCTTCAGTTATATTTTTATTCCTGTTACACAATTAAAAGATTTAATGTGCACAGAACAGTGTAACTGTCTGTCTGGGACAGTAAGAGTATTATTAGCCAGAATTGCTTCCTTAACAGTACCTTAGCATTTATATTCTTTCCCTGTCACACACAGGTACCTGATAGTAAATTGACTTGTTAGTGAAGTATGAGGTATACTTTACACTAAGCTGAAACATTATGCACATATTTCATATATCATGCAAAAAGTATTTATGGTGCAGATAGTGAAAAACACCTTTTTTAAGATGTTTTATATGCATGATACAAATTACAGAGGTGTTCCTTGATCTATATATGGTAATTATTTTATAATGTAGAAATATATTTTCATAAACAACATTGAAATATCTTTTCTTTCAGTTTTGTTCATATGGCAGTCGCTTAATGGGAAGAGGGTACTATGTCTTTGACAGAAGATGGGACCATTTTCGATTCGCACTAAACTCCATGGTAGAAAAACACTTGAACTCACAGATGTGGAAGTAAGTGGGATTTTTTACACTTGGTGGGTAGTTGAACAATTTTAATTCTGTAAAACGTCTAAATTAAACACTCCATGAGAAGCATTTGTAAAATTACCTCTGTATTGAGGCAGAGCAGTAATATGAGTACGAACTGTCTCTTCTCTGTTAAGGAATATGCAGCACAATGGAACAATCTCCTGTTCAGATGTAAATTTCCGCCAGATTTAGGGCTTGTTTTTTATCCCCAGAAGTAGTTCTGTTAACATTACTTAAAAGCATTAAAGCTCAGTGTTTACTGGGTTTGGAAATATGTTTTGATATCATATCATTCTGTAACACACAGGTTAGATTTTGCCTAGATTTTCATACCTGTATCATGCACCCGTATCACCCATTCAGACTTTGCTCTGTAAGACTCGTGTTGTAAGATGAGGACCTCGGTACACGTTTGCCTGTGCGTAAGATGGTATATGGTAGTTTTTTAGTCCATAGTGCCCTTATTGGCTTTGGGGTCTTAAAATTCTGATTATTCCTCACTATTGAAGCACCTCAAAATCATGTATTCAAGTTCCAAGCACTATAGGCTTTGGCTACACAGATACATTAAAATAGCCTACACTTCTAAAAAAGATGCTAATTCTTTCTAAAAAAATAAACACTTGAAAAGGTCATGGCATCTGCAGATAACATTGCTTTTTTGGGGGTATTCTGCTACAGAATGTGCATTCTTCTTCCAATGTAATGACACTAAAGTGTAGTGTTTCATGTCACTGTTTATTATCAGGACTGTGTTATATTCATTGGATGCCAGCCATTAGATAAACAAGGTTTGATTGATTTTTTTTTTTTATTTTTTTTTTTTTTTATTTAAATATATTTTTGAAACACTAAAGCTTGGCTTGTCTGACTAACCCAGTAACATGATGATAACAGTGTTGGGAGACATAACATAGTTTGGAAATGGTTGGTTTGCCATAAAAGGGCCGGTTTCATGTCTGTTTAGAGACAGATCACGCTTGATCTGCAAGGGGTTCCTCTCTTCGACTTTGTAAATTTGGCTGTTAACTAGTGTCTGTCGCCTTCCACAAATAAAACTAATCTGGTTTCCTTAAATAGGAAGATTTAAACTTGTTATCTATTGGCCTTGTTTGTCAGGAGAGAAGATACTCGGGCATCTGAGAAAATGTGTCATAGTACCACTACTATCATGAAAACCAAAAATAACCTCTATAGTAGTTATATGATACAAGATATAAACAGGCCTCATCCTGCTGCGACTAAATCCAATTGTAAATGTTTTCCCAAATTCTAGCTGTTTACGTAATCTCTAATATTTTATTGAATTCCATCCGTACTTACTTGTCTGTATAACACAGGAAGCTCACGGTGCTTAACCTCTATTGTATTCTTCTGTTGTCCTCAACCCTCCTCTGGACCGATCTTTTCCTGTCTTCCCCAAGATGGGGTATGTGTAAAGCTGTTATTTTCTAACCAGTGCTAGTGCAGCTCTGTAGCTGTGGCTCATCTAGCTGAGACAAAGGGTAAAGGGATGCAAGGCCATATTTTGAGAACGATATTAACATTTACAAAGTCCTTTTTATCCCTAGTTCTCGAAGTACTTTACAAAGGTGGGTAAGAATTATTGGCCCTTCTTTAAAAATAAACTGAGGAACAGATGTGTTAAGCAGCTTTGTTTGCATAGCAAGGCCCAGGCAGTAGGACTTCCGCATTTTTGGCAGCATGGGCTGGATGTAATCCCTCGTGTAATTGTGCCATGAACAGTGTTCTATCTGATGGTCTCCATAGGAGGAATACCAGGAGAGAACATTTGTAATTAGGATTTGATTTATGATAAAACAGCACACCCAGTGCTGCTCTTTTATCATGCTTCTTTGAGGGCAAGAGTAAGCCTTACAAAACTGAAAAGGTGTCAGTCGTGAGGATAACAAGGGCAGAGTTCTGGTGACGTACAGCTTCTTAACAAAGAGAAATGGGATTAAACTGTGAATTAAATTTTAGTCTAAATAATGAGAAACCTCACGTGATAATTTTCGAAGAGCCATTATGGAAGTCTGGTTCTTTGTGAACACTGAACTAGATAAAATAATAGAAGATGACGGCTGAATAGAAAGGAATTTGAATACATTCTACTAATTTCACAGGTAATATTACTAGATTTTGTTCTCAGAATAGTATTCAACTAGTTATAAAGTTTATCAGGAATTGTTTAATATTTTGTCAGTTTTTCAATATAAGTGAAATTAATCAATAACTTACCTAGTTAATCCCATCTAACTAGCACTTAAATGAGCTGCTGGGAATAGCACTGCCTTTGGAAGGGGATGAGCTTTCCTCCTTTCCTCTTTAAGCTCAGTGATTAAGTGCTTCACAGCCCCCAAAACTGGCTCATTTACCACCCTCACCAAATCTAACGTGTGAGTTTAGGTTGATACTGAAACTGTTCCACAACTTGAACTTTCAAGAAAAACGTATGCAATGAATGAAACATAGTGACTAGAATGTTTCTAGATCCCACCATCAGGCATTTTATTTGCATTTTTAAATTGTTTGGTAAAATAGGAGAGGAAAAAAGGAAATTAAATTTGTAATAAAGTGATTAAATTGTAACACTATGTGCTTAATTGCTACATGGAGCACCTGTGCTGAAGTGGAGCTCAGTTCTGATTTAACTGAGTTACACAGTTTAGGGCTCATGTGCCATGACAGAATTTTATAGGGAAAATTATGCTGCATAGTTCTTTACCTAATAATCTTCTGTTACGTCTCTGCTGCCTTCACAGATTTAATGTGCCTCATTTCAAAATTAATGTTTAGGAAAATATACTTCATAATCCAGCGTTCCTGAATCTTTACATCATTAAAACACATGTGGTTTGGGTTTTGTTGTTCGTGTTAAATCCCAAAGAACCTCATAATAGAATTGCAAGTTTAAAAAGAGGAAAAAAAGATCACAAGTAAAAGCATTTTTAAGCTGTTGTAGAATGCAGAGCTGATTTTGAACTGTGAATATTAAAATATATGTGACTGGTAGAATAGGAATCAAAGTTAGAATGAACTAGGTTTACCTTTTTTAATAAGTTGGTCCTTTTCAGAAACTGTTTCCTGTCTGCATTGTGTGGATGGAATTTTTTTATAGATCTAAATCTCTTTTTTTCTTTCTTTTTTTTTTATTTATCCTATTTAGGAAAATTCCTCCTGCGGCAGATAGTCCCATGCCTTCTCCAGCAGCACATGTCTCCACTCCTTTTCCGGCATCAGTCTTACAGCCTTTCAGCAACCCCAGTGCAGTGTATATTCCTTCAACACCTATCAGTTCAAGAATCACTACTTCTTCTTACATAATGACATCAGCCATGTTATCAAGTGCAGCCTTTGTGACAACGTCAGATACGAATTCCATTATGTCACACACTACAGCTTTTCCTCACGTGGCTGCAAGCCTAAGTATCATGGACTCAACTTTTAAGGCGCCATCAGCTGTGTCACCAGTGCCAGCAGTCATCCCTTCCCCATCCCACAAGCCATCCAAAACAAAAACCAGCAAATCCTCAAAAGTGAAAGACCTGTCATCTCGGAGTGATGAGTCTTCAAGTAACAAAAAGAAAAAGCCGCAGTCGTCATCGTCATCATCATCCTCATTATCTCTGCAGACATCTTCCTCGTCTTCATTTTCAGGGTCCCACAAAAAGAACTGTGTCCTGAACCCCAGTTCAACTTTGAACTCCTATCAGGCTACATCTTCCTACAACAGTATGTCTGTGCACAATACAAATAACGGAACAAGCCCACTCAGTGCCAAATCGGAGCCCTCAGGACGGACTTCATTATCAAGTAGTTCAACAGACTCGGTGAAACACATGAGCATGGTAGTAAGCAGTATTGACTCTTCTAATCTGTCTGTATCTTCTCTTGTGCACCACTCGGGGGACCACTCCCTGGGAGCACATAATGCAGTGTCTTCTCTACCCCTTTCTTTTGACAAATCAGAAGGAAAAAAACGTAAAAACTCTAGTTCTAGTAGCAAAGCCTGTAAAATCACTAAAATGCCTGGTATGAATAGTGTTCATAGAAAGAGCACTGCCAACCTTATTTCTGCGATGCCAGATCCTACAAGCAGCTCCATCTCTCGGCAGGTAAGGGACTCTTCCAGTTATTTTTTTGCAGGTCATGTCTGACTTGAAATATTTCATGCATTCTGAAAAGAAAATACTGTGGTTGCTTCAGATTGTTTTTCATCACACAACTTACTTTCTAGGTTAATACAAAAACAGATATGTATTTGTTTTGTACCAATCATAGAAAGATGTTTTTAGAGTAAAAAAAAAATAATATTTATATCTATATCTACTTTCTTAAAATGTTTTTATGATTTTTTTATTCAATTACTAAAGTAGCCATTTGTATCTCTGAAAGTAAAATTGACTGTCCAGAATGGATAAATAATTTTTAGGAATTAATTTTTTATCTTAATTCCCATCTCTGAAATAAATTGTGTCATTAAAACAGGAAGATAAGAGTCAGCATTTCTGTTTGTTTCTTTTCCAAAACTTGTTGCTGATTCATTTCTTAATGTTATGCGAGTCTCTTCGTTTCTCTTATGTGAAACACTTACACCTACCTTTCCCCTGGGGAGATGCCTGACCTCAGATGCTTTTTCCTGTTTGAAACTGGAAAAATTAAGAAATTAAGATCTTAACCAAATGACCTTTAGTGCACATTTGGTTATCTTTTTTAGTCTGCATGTGTTCAGGATATTGAAGTCAGTGCAACAGGTAAGGTTACCCACTCTTACTTCATTGTCACTAGCAGTAAAGCTTTGGCTTGTCTTTCAGTGATGCTATATAAGGACAAAAGTGTATGTGCAGTAAAATTTGGTGGAGAAACTGCCAATATGATCTTTATAACGATCTAGTTTCATTCTGCTACCGTGTGCAGTGCACAGAAAACAAAACTTGGCCCTGGCACCTGGAAGATAAAACCAGAGAAAACAGAATACCTCAGAAAATCCAGAGAAGGTAGCTTAGGAAAATTTGTTTGTGAAGCTCTCATTTCCTAAGGATATTGTGCATAAAATGGAATTTGGAAATGGAGAGGGTAGTATCTTGGGCAAGGCAATCCACAAGTAAGAGCAGACAGAAATAGGAGTGGAAGAAAGGAATCAATGAATTCTAAAACTACTATAGCAGACAGAATGAAGGTCTCAAAGAATGGCTTAGCAGGTATATTTTCTCTTTGCTACTTCCAGCAGAGGTGCAACCGAGATGACTTGTTCAGCTTTTAAGAATGGGTAGTGGCATTGTCTTTCTATTTTAAGCCTTTTAAATGTGTCCTGCAATCAGAACTAATCTTGAAGTCATTGAAGTCAGTGGAGCATGCTGTAAAGTCTTCATTCTGTCACACATCTGATTTTTGAAATACGTGTGTGCCCAAAAAGATTAGATTGCCCTGAGATATACAATCTCAAATGGGAAGGAAAAGTAAGTACAAATTGTTACTTTGGTACAAACACTGGTAGTAGGAAATGGATTGTGTCGTCTTTTCACAGTACATAGGCTGTATCTGTAGCTAGTGCAGTCTGCAGAGCTCTTACAGATATACGCTGGAGGTTCCGAGTTGAAATTCTGACTCCCCTAGTGATTAAATCTGTTCCCATGGGACATTCTTGTTCCAGTTTGTGATGTATTTCGGCATGTTGCACAGTGATCGAAGTAAATACACCACAAAGAATCAATTAGAGGTCTTTTCTGTATATTTGTAAACACGTAATTCATACTAATTTTTTTTTTCTTAAGTAAAAGATTAAATATATGTAATGACTGTAATGATACATAGATTTTTAAACAATGTTTCTATATACATGTACAGGTGCATACACACATATATATATACACACACACATATATATATATATGTAAAAGTCGGTCACACTTTCCTCTTACACCGCTGGTCTTTGGAGCTACGCTAGTAATCAGAAATAGGAGGTAAAGTGTTGAGTTGATTGTATTTCAGATGTCTGGCTGGCAGCTAATCGTCTTTGTGACACAGATACTGAATTGTATGCAATATAAAATAGACATTTCCTACTGTTTATTTGTGCTATAAATAAATGACATTTGTACCCACTTAAGCTTATAGGTCAAATAATATTACGTACTCTACATATGAATATAAAGCTCTGGAGAATACAATACTTACCCTCACTCTTAAGCCATGCCGTTTTGACTTGCTGTGTTCTAGAAATGCAATGACAGTAAAAATCCGCCCAAAAAATCAGTATTAACATCTTACTCCTGTTCCCTGATGTAATAGGGCAAATTAAGTTAAGAGACTAAGAACACAGACAAAAGATCAAGTGACCGGTGACAGGCTCAGGTTTTTTTTTTTTCTAATTTAATTCACATCTGGCCTGGATAGATAGTAACTGAAAGTGTTAACCATTGGGTTTTAAAGTACACTTTATTTTTAAAAGAGAAAAAAAAAAAGGAGGGGGCTTTGAGCCTTGGCCTCACCCCAATCCTTCTGAAATGTTGTTCCCATCATTAAAGACCCAACACAACTGGGAATCTTTCTTTCCTGTTTTCACTGAGTGCTGTAACTGTTCAGCCTGCCTGAATTACCCTGCTGTCCTGGAGCGCTGCCCTTCCAGCTCGGAATGCAGACAGGGTGGTAAAGCAGCTCGAAGCCGACCACAGTGCTGCAAGCCCTGGTGCTCCTTGCTTTGTCTTATGGAGAGAGTCAGTCTGCTAGTCGTAGGAGCAGTGAATGAGGGAAAGCCTAGAGAAGGTATGACGTTCCCTTTCGTGATTCTAGGATCCTGGCAAGTTGATTTCCTAGTGGCCATTTAAAAGATAGACATGTGTTTTATTATGGAAGGGTTTTATGAATGTTACAATGGTGAATGCAGAGAAGAAGGGTTTGCAGGTGTATCTTGAAGTTCTGAATGGGTAGGAAAGATTTTACAAGGTTGTATCTTTAGTCAAGATTTGTATATTGAAGAAAAGCACATGACTACCTAGAGAGCAGCTGTGGCATGCAAAACAACAAGCTAAAGGGAACAGGATCGGCAGAGGCCTACCCTTCTAATCTTTGCACGCCGCTGGAGCTGCCTTCAGAATTGGCTGTAAATAAAAACTTTAAACACTTCTTCTGAATAGAATATGAACAGAGAACACCGCTTTAAACAGTCACTGTGTGAGAAGGGGCAGATACGGAGAGGGAGACAAAGGCTACCTTTCACTATATACGTGAAATGGCAAAATAACGATGTTGCAGAGGGAAGGAGAAGACTGATGTTGGTGAAAACCCTGCCAGCCAATGCCACTGTCCCATCTGTTCAGTAAGAAACTTGCAACTGCATTTCTTACTGTTGAGAAGACAGGTCCTTGCTACCTCTCCCTAAATGACTAAAGTTGATGTTGCTAGAAGTCCATTGACCTTGTGAATAACTATTCAAACTCCCGTCATCTGCCATTTGCAGGCAGGTGTCCTCCACGGTTAATTTTTATCAGCCTTGTAACCCATGAGGAACTACTCCTCTGACTCAACACCTGTCTGCCCTTTTGTATCACAACAGAAATATCTAGACTATGTTTAGGAGTCGTTGTAGGAAAAACTAAGAGTTCTGCAGAGTGCTGTAATCTCTCAAGCAGTGACATAAGCAGGTTGAATATTGCAGTATTTTAACTAAGTACTTTTAAAATGTATGTATGTGTACTATCAATTTGCACTCATTCCCAAAGAAATTCTCTGATGCAGTGAAGTAGAACAGTTGCAAATTTAAACCTCTGGAGTTTGATTCTTCTGGTTAAATATTTGCTTTATTGAGTGATAATAAATGAAGACTCTATGTGGAAGAAAGTGGAATAACTTGGGGCATGCTCTGGTGCTTGGCCACTCGCTTTAAACTCCTCAGAGTGGGGAAGGTCCCCTGGGGAGGAGTCTGTGACCTTGAGCACTCCGTGCTCTCCCAGTTGCTGACTAGCTGCATTGACTGACTCCAGTAACTAGAGAAACTAGTATTTCTGTCTACAATCTCTGTTCCCTCGGTAACTGTTTCTTATGTTGTCTTCTGACCTGTAATAGTAATTTATGTGCCTTTTAAGAGTTTATTTAAAGTATACAGGCTCTGAGAGATAATTATGATTCTATCTGAAGTGTACCTTTGCAATAGCAAAATACTTGTCTTCCAAATGCAAAGCAATTAGGGCCACTTTACACAGGAAAGGGAAGGCCGTTACCAGCATCTGCATTCAACTGACAAATATGCCTCTCAATACTGCTCAATTAATGTCTTTCAGATTGGAAAAAATAGCAGTGTAGCTTTGTCACAATCCAGTCCTTCGAGTACATCAAACCCAGTACACAACAGACAAGTAAGTTGCTTTAAAAAAAAGAAGTGTACTTAAGTAGTCTGTAAGCGGTTTTGAAATATTTTGTACTGTAAAACCTTAAAATACAATTTCTTTATAAATACAGTTCTTTACAGAAGCTGTCGTTCGGTGAACTAATATTAAATTACTCCTCTCACATAATTTTTTTTCCAGCTATTTTCCCCTCCCAGATTTATGAATAACAAGTTTTGTGCTTGTTTTTCACCACCTCGAATACACCTCAGGTTGGCTTATGTGCTGCTCACTGTCTGTTGCTTTGGCGATGCAAACGCAGCAGCAGCAGAAGCTGTCTGCGCAGGATCCGGCTGAGCTGATGTGGGTTTTCTATCCAACTTTCCCTGCTCAGCAAGACGGCAGAGCAGAGTCCCCAGACTCGCATAGGAGGGACAGCATTTAAAAATAGGCCAGAAGTGAAAGCAGCAAAGGGAGGACAGAAACAGGACAGAGAAGACAGGGCACTTAACTATTGAGAAACTAACCTGAAAGCATAACTAAGCTAAGCATAATCCGAGTTCTTCTTAGGCTGTGAGAAATCCTTAGTGCTTCCACCATACCTGTTTATCACACAGACTACTAGTCAGATAATTATAATAAATGCTGTAACTCAGCTTTTTTGTAAGGACAGGTGTTTGACCTGTGATCAAGCCTTCATCTGTCTGGAGGACTGATAGACTAGTTTGTTTTTTTTAATATGGGCCCTACTCTTTGACTCTCCAAGTTCAGTAGTTTATTGAAAATTCATTATCAAGGTCCTTGGTATGAAAAGGTTTCCTACTTCAGCAAGGGGTAGCCACAAGTAAACAAAAGTTCCAGAGGATTTTTCTGTACAACCTGTCAGTATTTTAGAATTTTGTTATGTATTCTGGCTAAGTTATACAGGACTAGTTATTCCAAATGGCTCTGCTACTTAGTTTCTGCTGTGTAGACACAGCAAAAGAATAGTAATGATTGTAGTAATGATAACCCACGAATGTATCCCCATTAAAAATATTCTGAATCACTCACATCTTGAGATGAACTGTCAAACAGTAATTTTTCTTTTTTTCCTGCTTGGTGCTGAATGTAACGCAGTATATGTATGGAAGAACTACTCTGAAGGGGAAAAAAGTGGAAAGTTTCTTCATACTTCTAGGGAGTGCCATTCTCATGTGTGAGACGCTGTTATCTAACTGCCAGTAACAAACATGGGATAAAGCCGTTCTGAAGCGCAAAACTGTTTTTGCTTTAACCTCCTGCCCCTGTGTTAGTATAAACTACACACTACCCGAGGAGCAGAGCGTGTTGAGATCTGTTGCCTAGATCCCATGGGGAAAACCTAACAGTACAAAACATTAATTTTGTGGTAGCCTTATGTAAACAGAGGCTATTACTGAGCTTTTCAGCTGCTTGTTACTGTAACTTTATAAAAAATAGAAGTGTTTGCTTGTTTTAAGCCCCACAAACTCTTTATTGTTAAACATGTTTCTGTCAGTTTGGTAGTTGAATATGGAGCTCAGAGTACAAATACAAAAGAAAATCAAGATGTATTAAGTTTTATTAAACTTTTTTAAACTCTAACACAGGATTTTACTATTTGGAACCATGAGTAATGATTACCTATCTAATAAATGCTTGTCACTGTCAAAATAAATCTGAGCTGCTTTGTTGACAGCTTTCATCTCCAATCTAGGAACTGAATATGCAGTCAGCATATTCAGTCAGCATGCAGTCCTACTGAGAAAGCCTAACTTCCCCGCTCACCTTCCGAAGGTGTCTGGCCAGAGCTGAGAGGACGCGTGGCAGTGCTGTGAAAGTCACCCGCCACCAGTAACTGAGTGTTTCTCATTACTGAGTTGTGAGATAAAGGTGCCCCATGGTGGTTTTGATTTCACACAAGTAGTTTCTTTCGGTGATTTGTTCCATTTGTTGAAGTACACTGTACTCTCAGGTACTCCTGGGGGGAAGTGGTGGATTGCGAGGATAACTGCTGTGGGCCTGTCTGCTCTCTCCCATTGCATTAACTCAGGTTAAACTCAGACGAATTGTTCTCAATTCATGTTTAATTTGAACGTGGCTGCATCCCTTTGAGACCTGAACAGGGACTTGTATACATAAAAGTGTGCCTGTTTTTCCAACTATTGTGGCTTTAATAACAAAAATACTACTTTTCCCT